CCAACTTGCTCCCAAACACAAAGCCTACCAGATGAGCATTCCTGGTCCTGCCTAATGGAGCCCAGCCACATCTGCAGCCTTGGTCCCTCATCCCCAGGCTGCTGCATATCACCTCATTGGGGAGCTGGCCATCAAGAAGGGCCATTAACAGATGTAAATAGCAGCATCCCTGGAAAGCCACATGCATCACCCAGACTCAACCGGGCCAGTGATCATAAGCTCTGAGTACACATTCCTCAATCCAATTGCACATCCACTGTAATCAGGCTGGTTGAAGCTTTCCACATAGCTATTTGTGATTCTCCACATTAAGAAATATATATATGAAACACCTACAGACAAATATAAGCTATTTAATATATCATACCATTGGCCAAATACAAATCAAAATGGATATAATACACAGAAAAAAAATCCAATCACCTTGTGAGATAAGGTATTACTCTATCTGCTCATTAAAGACACAGAAAGGAAGGAGAAACAGATCATCCAAAATACAGCATGGAGAAACTGCAAATATCGGATAACTTTGGTCATGGTTTTTAAGAAGCTGGCTAATATATGCCTGTGTGGGGAGAAATATTTTACCTGCCTTCTCACGTGGCGCTCTAACCTAACACCTCTTTTGTTTTTCAGGAAGGAAAAGCTATTTCCTCTAAATGCATTTGTAGTTAGGAAGACTGGTTTTACACCAAATTTTATGATATATTAACCTTAGCCACCTAGGCTAGAAGTAGCTTAGAAACAAGCCTTGAAGAATCTACTTCAGCATTTGCATGCTAATGCAAACATTGTGTCTGTGTGGCACTGGACAGGCAAATAATACTCTTATCTTCTGTTATTACCTGGGGACTCTAACTGTGTCACTTGGGCAGTCAGTTCAGCAATTGGCTAGGTCATTATGCTTGCAATATTGACTTCTAATTAGGTGTCAACACAGCAGCACCAAGAACACACTACTCTTTATCAATGTCTTTCCAAAGTGTGTTCCTCATCGACCACCTCCCCCCACCTTTAAAAAGTACCAATACAGAATGGAGAGCGCTAGCCCAGTCTTCATATAGTGAGATTCCCTACTAGAAGAGATTAAGTTTTGAGTAAGCATAATGAATAAACATCCAAGAAAGCATCCACTGCTCAACTTATACTGAAATTTAGATTTTTAAAAAAGTTTATTTATCTTTGGGAGAGAGAATGTGTTCATGTATGCATACATTAGGCAGGGGCAGGTGAATGAGAGAGAGAGAGAGAGAGAGAGAGAGAGAGAGAGAGAGAGAGAGAGAGAATGAATCCCAAGCGGGATCTGCGCTAACAGCTAACAGATCATGACCTGAGCCAAAATCAAGAGTTGGATCCTTAACTGACTGAGCCACCCAGGCGCCCCTGAAATTTAGATTTTATTGCTAATTCAACAATAGGGCACATAATGGAAAAGATGGGCTTCAGAGTTAAACTAACTTGGATCCGTATCCAGGCCCTATCACTTACCAATTGTATGACCTTAGAAAAATAATTTTATTGAACTTCAATGTCCCCGCATACAAAATTAACACTCCCTATGGGTTTGATGAATAAACTATTCGAAACAGTAATCTATTATATTATCTTCAACATACAAAATTTGTCCCTTTCTCTCCTCTCAATCTATCCAAATCTTACCCATTCCAAAAAGATTCATTCAAATTCCATTTCCTTAGTAAAGCTTTGCCTAGTCTAAAGCTTCTTCTCCATCTCCTACTAAGACCTTCATGTGGAGAATTCATTTGATAATTAATCATATATTGCCTAGGACTGTTTCTAGCTTGCCAGCCTAAACCATTATATCATTGCCTCCAGTGCCTAGCAGGATCCCTACACATAATATGGGAGTAATAAATATTTGCTGGTTCCATAGTCATTTCATTTTTTAAATGATTCTTAGAAAATACTCAACACCAAGGGCTTAGAACATCGTCCATGACTTATCTCTAGGGATCACAGAGTGACAGTCTTAAACATCATTCAACTCTTCTATTTTTAAATATAGGGTTTTAAAAAATATTTTTTTAATATTTATTTTTGAGAGAGAGAGAAAGAGGGGTGAAGGGGCAGAGAGAGAGGGAGACACAGAATCCGAAGCAGGCTCTAGTCTCTGAGCTGTCTGCACCGAGCCCAACATGGGGCTTGAACTCATGAACCGTGAGATCATGACCTGAGTTGAAGTCAGTCACTTAACCAACTAAGCCACCCAGGCGCCCCTTCTAATACAGTTTTTTAATGTTTATTTATTTTTGAGAAAGAGAGAGAGACAGAGTATAAACAGGGGAGGGGCAGAGAGAGAGAGGGAAACACAGAATCTGAAGCAGCCTCCAGGCTCCGAGCTGTCCGCACAGAGCTGGACACAGGGCTCAAACTCATGCACCACAAGATCATGACCTGAGCTGAAGGTGGATGCTTAACTGACTGAGCCACCCAGGAGTCCTTCTTCTACATTTTAAAAAATAACAAAAGTAACAGTTGCCATTAAGTGAACATCTATCACATGCTGTACTATACTACATATTGACAAGTACTGATAGTAAAGAGGTTAAGCTGGGGAGTGTCAGCCTACCTTGGTCCAAATCTCAGCTTTGTTTTACCTGTATAATCTTGGACCAATCAAGATTAACCTCATAAAGCCTCAATGTTTCCAATTATAAAAAGTCCTCAAATTATTAGTATTAATTCAGAAGCAGCTGTTATTATTGCCATGAGAAAACTAAGGTATAGAGAAATTAAATAACTAGTTTTATAGCTAGTATGTTTATTTTTTAAGATACCGTTCACATAATTTCCTTTACCAGAGAAATTACAGAAGTATGTTCTAGACTAGTGCCACTGCCGTTAGCAGAAACAATATAGAAAGATGAACATCAGTTATAACACAAACATAAATGTCATTGATCCCTAAATTCAATGTGGTATTCTGGAACAGAAAAAGGACATTTGTAGAAAAACTGGTGAAATCCAAAACGAAGTCTGTATTTTACTTATTAGTATCATAACAATATTAGTTCTAAGTTTTGATAATTATAGCATGGTTATACAAAGCGTCAACATTAGAAATATCAACGGTTTCAGTTAGATCTATTTTAATACACCTCTTTCAGTGGGCATAAAGATTATTTGAGCAACAGGAATAGTGTAAGATGCTAATATTAGGTATATAGGAACTCTTTGTACTATCTTTGTAACTTTTCTGTAAATCTAAAATATTTTAAGATAAACTGTTAAAAAAATAAATGTCATGATAAAAACTTTCTGGGAGGGAAGTATATTGGCTAATAAGGTCATCATTAGTGTCCTGTACAGTCTTGCAAAATGATGGCTATGAAGACTAGGTACAGCATTTTAAAATACCCATGATGTGGGGCACCTGGTTGGCTCAGTCAGTTGAGTGTCTGACGTCAGCTCAGGTCATGATCTCATGGTTTGTTGAGTTCAAGCCCCAGGTCAGGTTTTGCGCTGACAGCATGGATCCTGCTTTAGATTCTCTGTCTCCCTCTCTCTCTCAAAGATAAATAAACATTAAAAAAAAAAAATACCCATGAGGTAATACTATATTTGAAGAGATAGTATAACAAAATTGTCTGTATATCATAATAATTGTGAAAGGCAAAACAGTTTTCTAGCCACTTTAAGTAAGCTATTGACCTCTATGTGCTTCAGTTTCCTCATCTGTAAAATGGGGCAATAGGACCCTATTCTATTAAGTTTGTTGTGAGGATTAAATTCATGGTAAGCCTTAGAACAGTGCTTGGCACACAGTAAGTGCATAGTAAGTATTACAATACTGCATCTAAAGGCACACTGGGGTGGAGGGGGAGAAATGAAATAAAAGAACATAGCAAAATGAGATGATAATTATTTAGAATGATGGGATGGTGCTTTTTCTTCCATTTTCCGAATCTTCCTTAATGTGTTTATAAAATTATCAATGCAATATAAGTTTAAAAGATAACTAAGACTACCAAATAGCTC